CCCCCCGCCGCTGCTCCATCTTTCCGGCTTCATTACCTGCTATACCCGCGCTTACTCACTTAGCTTGCGATGACTCGCGGGTGCTCAAGATTGTGGAGGTCTCAGAGATCCGATAGCTCAGAACACTGAATCACCACAACCAAGGCTCGCAAAGTCACCAACTGTCCTTACTATTGTCTACACCTTTATCCATAATCCCTCCGTCTTCGCTTCCGCTGTTCAGGAAGATTCCCGCCTGAGACAGTGATACAGCATTGATAGCGCGTTGCCAAGCGTGAAGATAAATGTCAACAAGGGGACAATGTGTCCTTGAGCATACTCGATAGCTTAGCCGTCCGTGGAACACTTCGCTGAGATATAATATATACTGTTGACGGCCCCTAGACACGCTACTCCGGCTACAATACCCCGTACATGTCATCTTCGAACACCTGCTCTTCATCATCCCCTTCGGACACCGGAAACGGGGTTACCCAGTCGGCGTAGCGGGTGAGTGTGTGATCGTCGCACTCGACATGAGCCACAAGCTCCCTCAGCCTCTCCACCACCGGGTTGCCGTCTGTGCGACACAGTATAAGCTTCAAGGCAGTCAGAGCGCAACCCCGCTCTACACGCTGCACAAGTGTATCACAAAATGAGGTAACTTGCGATACTCCCGTGTTGTGCTGCAGGAAACTTGCACGTCGTAAGGACAACGTCTTCAGTGCGCGAGCCGGAGTCACTAATAGGACGTTGTTTAACGTTAGTATAGTGTAAGGACATCGACGTCTCTAGAACATACCTGCGTCCACTGGCTTCAGCGCCTGAGCGATGGACCAGACGGCTTCTTTCTTCGACTGAGCTACTGAAATCTCGATGTTTTCCAGCGCCTTCGCTCTCAGCAAAAGTGGCCTGAGCAGCCTCGCGTTCCATGGGAATGGCGTCCACCGAGCAGAGGACAACGAGGAAGCACGCCTTTCTCCGCGTGTTCTCAGCAAGAGCTTGCGCAAGCGAGACATATCGACGCCTGGCCATAGGAGCCTTTTGAGAATTGGGTGAGCTGCCCGGTCAAGCAAGTCGCGTGGTGGTGGTGGCGGCGGCGGAGGCTCTCTTCGAAAAGGATCGAAAGATGAGGTAGAGATCGGAGTCGGCTGTGGCATTGGCGCATATATGCTTTCTAGTTCGTCCTTTGTCTCGTCCGGGTCCGCCTCTGCGTCGAACTCCTGTTGCCATGTACGGTGGAAGTCATGGAAATCCTGCGAGAAGAACCATTGAAGATGGATGCCAGGGTGAAAGAACGGCCCTTCTGCTGCCCATACTGCGTCCTGTTCGTACGCACTGCCGCGAGGGCGAATCTTGCGCGCCCCGTCATACAGGTCGAGCGCGAGCGTCCGCGTGTCCCATCCGGTCCATCCGTCGGTGACAGGGCCATTTTCACCTTCCGGAGCCTCGACCGTGTGGAGTGATAGAGTATCATACGTCAGATTGGTTTCCTCCAGGTGCGAAGTGAGGCGGGAGCCGATCTCGGCGAAGTCATTTCTGTGTTTTATCGAATGGAAGACGATGCTGACGTGCGCGTCGGGATGAACTCGGAGTAAACGCCAGAGAGCCAGATAGCTTTTGAGCTTCCCACGCAGGCGCAGAGTCCGAAGGCGCGGCAGGATGATAGGGTCTTCTTGGAGATCTGCCGGAGGGATGGGAACCTGGCGCACCAGGACGAGTTCTTCCAGTAAGGGAGTCTGCCTCAGTGCAATTGCGACGTCCTTGAATGTATGTGTGAGATCCCTTTCAGCCTGGCCTTTCCAAGGGAGCAGAGTGAGAGAACGGAGATAAGGGAGAACACCACCGGCCGTCCAGGCGAAAGAAAACCCTCGCAGGACGAGGCGCTCCAGATTCGGGGTGTGATGCGACAGGATACGAGCGGGGGATGTCATTATTGGGTCGCTCGTGCCGTCAGCAAGCAAGGCCGGCCCCTTATCCCTTGGTATTAGGAGTACAAGATCTGTGAGGTGTTGGACAGGATGAGCGAGGGTATTCAGGAACTCGACAAGGAGCGACGGGACTATGTGTCCTCCGTCTTCTTCGTCTTCATCAGGCCAGAACCACCTCTCCGATATTGCATCTTCGATGTGTATACCGCGTACGAGTGATAGGTCACCCATCATCGCGTCCCTGAACTCAAGGAAGGTGAGTGGTGTGTAACGGTCTATTCCCGCAGGGAATCTTCGCCGCCAGAAGAAGTCGCGCAAAGCCACTCGGCCAGCTCTTTTCAAGAACAACTCCCATAAGCCCACTTCGTGTAGTCCAGTAGATAGTCTGGTCCAAAAAGGTGCGTGGTGTATCGCGATGGATCGCCATTGAGAGCAGACCTGAGTGATAGAGAACCAGCCAGAGTCCCCTTCTTGCATAGGCCACACGTCGCGCAGGAACATGAAGATGTTCTCGAGGATCTCAGGCAAGAGCGAGATAGGAAGCAGAGCGTTTCGACGGGCACGCAGACCGGCTAATGCATGTGCCATACAGTCGATCTCGCCTTCGAGGGCCGTCACTGCCTCGCCCGCGGCCGCGGTCAGGGCGCGTGGATGTGGAATCCACGATGTACGTTCGTGTGTCGCCTGTAACCAATATTCGGGACAGGGTGATCTATGTATATCATTCAGCAGCTTGAAGCCAAGGCGAATGAGAGCACTGACACCGGTCTTTCCGTGGGCTCCATTGCGTGCCGTGACGGTCAGGGTTCAAAGCAAGATGAACCCGCATCAAAAATTGCTAGCACAAGGCTCACAATCGCCACACGCGTGAAGACGAACATCAGCCGATCGTCGCCGCAGACAACATATACAGCATACGTCATATATCGTAGCACATATCGTACAATAGGCGGACGGATATTTTCCCCTACGCGTAAATAGGTGTGTCTATTCATTTCGGGGTAAAGACAGAGATCACGCTCCATGTAGCATCCTTCCCCTTCTCCCAGGCCTGCGGCCCTCTACTCTCATCTCCCCCAAACTCGACCATCAACCCATCCTTGGACCATTCAAGCCAAATGCCAATGCTCCCCGAAGACGGGCCCGATCCGCCACCCTTGCGGTCGGGCTCGCCTAGTAAGGCAACAAAGTCCTTGCCTGTCGTTTCCGGCCCAACCGACAGCGTCGTATCTTTTCGAGCCTTTCCGTCCTTCCCATCGGGTAGTACGGCGAGGGCGAAGGGTGTCATGGGGAAGGGCGAATAGGCGGGATTGGAGAGCGCCCTTGCAGGTTTGCCGTCTGTTGGCTTCTTGCTCGATGCATTGTAGATGTCTATCCCGTCGAGTACCAACTTCGACGTCTCAAGTTGCTCCGATGTTGCGCCCGCCTTTGGCCTATAATCCTTGGCGGGTGCGAAAAGTAGGCTAATGCCGATGCTGTAGAAGTTGTAGTACACTGCGTCGGGATAGGCCTTCACTTCGGGGGATGCAGCCGAGGACGAGGTTAAGGAGGCAAGTTTTTGTATATAAGCACCTAGTTTAGCAGACGTGGGTGTAAGGCCCAGTAAGGACTTCGGGTCCAGCTCGTCTGCCATGGTGGTGGTGTAGAGCCGAGTCGTGGGAGCCAAGCGCTTGCGCTTATTCGGGAGCAGCGCGCTTTCAGGCGCTTTCTTCCAGTTGACGTGCATCATGCGCGAACACTATCTTGTCCTCGGCTTCCACCTTCTAACCTACCATCGTCGCTCAACTTGAGCAGTGGCTTGCCTGTGAGATGAGTCGTCGGAGAGACATTGCCACGCGAGAGAAGCGTGAACCCTCTGTTGCCTCCATTGTTGGAGATGCCGTTGCTGTGGCTCAGAATGCTGCCCTCGCACCTGTGCGGTTGACTTGGGATTGGTCGAAATGGTTTGCCAGGATCGCCACGCCACCCTTGATACCGCTTGCCACACTGGCCGCTATTACACCTATTCTTTTGTTCATGTCTCTCGCGACTGGATTCTACGTCTGGGATAGTGGAGCAGTTGGTTGGTTGGCTACACTCGATTTGCAGTACGGGTACGTGAAGATGCGCTTACTTATGGCGTACTACCACTCAATAATCAATAGAGACGGTACACCACCGTATGCACAGACGCCATTACCAGCCATGAGCTCGATCGAGCCTTACGATGTCATCCTGCACCTCACATTACCCGCAACGTCGGCGAACTACGAGTTGGGGAACTTCATGGCGTCATTGACCTTGACGACGAATAAGAACAGGACCGTGACCAACGTGCGAAAACCGGTAAGTGATGAACAGAATATTCTCGCTCCTCCCTCACCATTCTCCAGACTATCATCATCCCTCCGACTCAATATCTGCCGTTCAGCGCTCCCAAAAAGGTTCGCGTGGACGTGCCGTTCTTGAAAGACTATGTTTCGGGCACGACAAATTTAGTCGCCACTATACAGCTTGGTCGCAAGGACGGGTGGAAGAGCATCGGGTCTGGTGTAGGGCGGGAAGTGAGCGTACTCTCAGCATCGCTTGAAGGTGTATTGAAGTACAGAGGCATTCGGTAAGCCTTCGTGGTGCTATCCCGAGCCACTCAACTCAGGCCATCTTTGTAGCGGTCTTGTGTCCAAATACCCCATTTCAGCGGCTGCTGCCGCAGCCGCAGCGTTCTTCATCGTTTCATTCTCCACTGTGGCACTATTGCTCGCTCCCGCGATCTTCTGGCAGTATCAAGACAGTGCGGGCGAAGAGGTCAAGACTGAAGCTCCCACACCATCCCCTGCCGGAGAGAAGCCCCGAAGACGCTCGTCTCTCAAACGAAGTAGCAGTCGCGGGGCCGATGAAGTACGCTCCCAAGTTCACCGCGCTATGGCCCATACTCATCCTCACACAGGGTATCAAACATGAGCCAGAGGATGTTGCAATGCCTTCATCAAGCTCACCGGGGACACCCTTGCGACGTCGACGGTCAAGAATATCTGATCGAGGAGACGAAGAATGAATGCTCTGAGACTTGTGATTGGAAGATGCGGCAGGACTAGAATAGCTACTCTCATGTACTATACGATTTCATTATACTACGTACGAGCTCCAGTACCCAAAAGGGTTCGATATACGCGATTCAGCGGGCTTAAGCGGCGACGTCTTGTTCATGGGCAACGGGTTCCGCCCGTGGCTCGAGCTTAAACACACGCGCCCCAGCTTGGACTTGCTCTGAACGCCCATCATGTCTGACTTCCCTACACCTCCACCGGACATCACTGTTCACAGTCCACACGAAGCCTCCGAAGCTCTGAGCGTTATCGACCATGCCCTACAACGATTGAAAGATGAAGAAGCGCGCCGACATGAACACCCTTCGACATCTTCCACGCCCAACCCACCTCTCAGTCCAAACTATCCAGAGGCATTCAGGGCTGGAGGCTCGCGGTGTGTAGACTATCTGTACACTTTGCGCGAATGCTGAAGTCCTGCGTCTAGGCTCAAGCAATTCGATGAATCCCAGATGGTCAGCAGGCTTGTATCGCAGGCAGCAACGCCTCCACGTTCAGTTGTGGGGATCGGCGGTAAAGGTACGTCCACGAATCAACTCACGTTGCACAGTGTGGTGACGGTCTATACCCAGTGGCGAAGCCGGACTACTCGGAAGAGAAGATCGTGCTAGCTATGGTAGGATCGGGCTATGATCGACAGTGAGAAGCGTGATCTCATGCGCGTCTCAAGGTTGGACTTCCCGCGCGTGGCAAGTCCTACTTGAGTAATAAGCTCACCCGGTACCTTCAATGGCTGGAATACGACGTCAAAGTGCGATACTTGCACGGATGTACTGCTGCACCGTTAATGGCCATCCCTCATAGGTCTTCAACGTGGGCCAACTGCGTCGTACCCGTGCGAAGGAGAAGCGCGAGAAGTGAGCACCATCCAGTATTCACCGTGAAGTATGGATACCGACCTTCGTAGGGGAATCACAGAAGAGCATACCGCAGACTACTTCAGTAATAGCAATGCAGCTGGGACCCAATCGAGAGAAGAACTCGCACAAGAGTCGCTGGAGATGTTGATCGACTGGCTCAAGAGCGGTGGGAACGTCGGTGTACACGGTGACTACCTGTCCTTCCGCAACTCGCCCTTTCTCATTGCGGGGTAGATGCAACGAACAGTACCGCTGAGCGAAGGTGCGTCTGACTCGCACAGCGCCTCGACGATCGTATTCAACAGTTCTTAGGGCCTGGATCAAAGAGCGCGTAGCCCGTGAGAAGGGCATCGTAGTCATCTTCCTCGAATCACTGTGCGACGACCCAGCAGTTATCGCTGCCAACGTTGCGTTGAAGGTCAGCTCCGGTGACCCCGATTACAAGGACATGCCTCCGGAGAAGGCGAAGGCGGACTTCTTGCGGCGTATCGAGGAGTACGAGAAGGTCTACCAGACTATCACTGAACCTGAGGACCTGTCCTACTTGCGCATCATCAACGTCGGTCGGCAAGCGGACGTAGTTCGCATACATGGTTACCTTCAGAGTAGGATCGCTTTTTACCTGATGAACCTTCACCTCAAGCCACGAGCCATCTTCTTCTCTCGAGTACGTTGCCGTCTTACCTTGCGACAGGCCGTTCGCTCACGGAGGTCGATAGCATGGCGAGAGTCAATACAACGTCGAAGGCAAGATTGGAGGTGATGCACCCTTGTCTGAACGAGGAGCACGCTACTCTCGAACGCTCCCTCAGTTGATCAAGGATAACATCGGCGATGCACCTTTGACTGTGAGTGTCACTGCCGATCGGACGATACATAATGGTATCTGACATGACGATGCAGGTTTGGACGTCTACCCTTCAGAGAACGATACAGACAGCGGAGAATCTCGACTATCCCAAACTCACCTGGAAGTCTCTCGACGAGCTTGACGCTGGAGTCTGCGACGGTATGACCTATGAGGAGATTGAGCAGGCTTACCCCGAAGACTTCGCCAATCGTGATGAGGACAAGTTCAACTACCGCTACCGAGGTGCGTTCCACTTCAATCGTATCATACCATGGACTGATACCGCTACATAGGTGGTGAATCGTATCGGGATGTCGTTGTCCGTCTTGAGCCCGTTATCATGGAACTTGAGCGACAGGAGAACGTTCTTGTCATTGGCCACCAGGCCATTCTCCGCTGCTTGTGAGTACAGAAAGGTGTCGCATCTAGTGGACGTTCTCATGTTGTCCGACAGATACGCCTACTTTCACAATCTCCCGCAAGCCGATCTACCCTATATCAAGATACCTCTGCATACAGTCATCAAGCTTACACCGAAGGCATATGGTTGTGACGAAGAGCGGTATGTGATCAATGTGCTCACTGTCTCTCGCGCCCTTACATGCTTTACAGGTATGCTCTACCCATCGGCGCTGTCGACACACATAGGCCAAAGCCGGGAGCTTCGCAGCCGGTGGTTCCGCCCTCAATCAGTAGACGAGAGTACTACACGCCCACGGATCCCAAGTCGGTCAAATAAATTTATAACTTGCAGTAGAATAGAGGTGTACAACCTAGTAGACGGACAACCTGACAATGTACTTGTATATCTGAGACCTAGGCACGCAGGACAAGAAGCAGCTGAGAATCCGGGGCCACATGATGGCATCCGGCGGCGCGCTACGGCTACTTTCGAACCGGTACCATGACCGGCGTACACACCTTGCCGTTGCCGTACCGGCGTTCTTCAACTTCTTGTCTGCGACCACGACTGCCATGGCCTCCCTCGACTTGAACACACTCTTTGGCGTGAAGGGAAAGACCGTCCTCATCACGGGCGGAAGCAGGGGGATCGGGAGGATGGTGCGTTTACCCCGCATTCGGCATGCGCGCGCGGAGGTTCACACTGGGCGCCTTGAACGCAGATCGCCACAGGCTTCGTGCAGAACGGCGCGAAGGTGTACATCAGCTCTCGCTCGGTCAAGGACTGTCAGGAAACCGCGGCTGAGCTCAATAAACTCGGTCCTGGAAAAGCCTTTGCTCTGCCCGCGGACATGCAGAAGCTCTCTGACGTCGACCACCTTGTTGCCGAACTCAGCAAGCACGAGAAGGCACTGCACGTACTCGTAAACAATGCTGGTATGACTTGGCTTGTGTCTGCTGCTTTGTAGGATGCTTACTCAGTGTAGGTGCCGCGTGGGGTGACGAGATCGACCAGTACCCGGTGCGTCAATGTCTGTATGAGGTCTGAGGGGACTGGCGCTTATCCCATGTTGGTGACCAGGACCAAGCTTTCTCCAAGCTCCTCACGCTCAACCTCCAACGCGTGTTCACCTTGACGCAGAAGTGTCTTCCGCTTCTGCGCGCGGCCGCGGAACAAGGCGGCAAGGACGAGCAGACTCAGATTTACAGGGACCCTGCTCGCATCATCAACGTATGTCCGTTATGAGTGTAGTGTATATCTGACTGAAGCTGGCACAGATTGGCTCTGTCGAGGGACTTGGGGTCCCCGCACACGAAACGTACGCATACTCGGCGTCGAAGGCCGGCCTTCATCACCTCAGCCGTCACCTCGCCGGCCGTCTCGGTGGCGAGGGTATCACCAGCAACACCATCGCATGTGGACCGTTTGAGAGCAAGAGTGAGGCGTCTAACCTGCCATGTGGAGCGTAGAGACTGATAGGGGCCTATAGTGATGGCACACACTTTGAAGACCATGGGCGACGTTCTTCGGTCACAGATCCCACTGAACCGTATCGGTACTCCAGAGGATGTTGCAGGAACGGCGTTGTATTTGTCAAGTATGTGTCCTGCTGTCTACCTCCGTCGCTTCCCTCAATTGACATGCGCAGGTCGCGCGGGTGCCTATACCAACGGTGCCACTATCACTGTCGACGGCGGTAGCTTAACGTTCATGGGACCGACTGCTCGTCTCTAGACGCGACCGTGCATTTCTGGAACAATCTGCTGTATATATTATGTAGGAGGGATATTGCATAACTGCATACTATGATGTGAACGTATCCGGGGTATAAGCTTAAGAAACCTCAAAATGGAGCACAGCAACGACTCTGCCGAACGAAAGACCTATGATGAGAACATCCCTCAACAGATGATGCATTCGCATCCTGCCTGTTTCATCTCCACAGCCAGCTCGACGGCGTCCTCGTCCATCGCGCGCTTCTCATTTTGTGTCACGAAACCTGGCGCCTCACCCTTCATGGCTCGGTCAGTCCCCTTGTGCGGAGCAGACAGAGGGCGAGCCGTGCCTTGGTCTGCAGTCTGTCCGGCACCCTGCTCAGCCATTGCAGGCGCAGCCGGCTTCTCACTTATGAACACATTCTCCTCGCGCTCCTCCTTGTGCGCAGGAGGAGTCGTGAACGACCTAGCCGTGGCGCTAGCTGGCGGTTCGAAAGCGGCATGACTCGGGGTCTTCGGGGTGAGCGGCATGGGCGTGAGGGGCGTGTCGGGGAGCGGCACCGAGAAGGCGTTGTCGGAAGATACTGACGGCCTTGACGCGATGCTCGACGAGTCTGTCAAATAACTCAAGCCTTTCACCGACTCTTCATCCGCCTCACCCTTCACATCCAGGCCGCCCTTTGCTGGGGCGGCATCAGCTTTCGGCTTGACTTCCTCGACTGGCGCAGCCTTTGCAGGAGGTTGTTCCACTACGACGGACGGCTTGGGCAGTTCGGGCGTCTTCGGAATTGCGGGAGTCTTTGGGCTTGCCGGCACTGGTGCAGAAGTCGGGAGGTTCGGAGTCTTCGGCGCTTCAACGACTGGCTCGCCTTCAGTCTTGGGCTCCTGCACAGGCGCTGCCTTCTTCGCGTCAGACTTGCCGGAGAGCTTCAAGCCCTTGGTGCTGCCAGAAGAAGACTTGATCGATTCCGGCGCATTGGGCGTTTTCGACGCAGTAGGCTTAGCGCTAAGCCCTCTTGCCAATGTACTGGCCTCCTCCCCTCCCAGTCCAAGCTCCTCCACGAGCGCGAGCAAGTCGTCCTCGGTGACCTTGACGCCCTGAAGACCGTAACCCGAAAGCTCCTCGCCGACGTCGAACTCCTGCTCGTTCCTTCGGTGCAGTTCGGCGACAACAGATTGATAATTGGGGTCGTTCGGCTTCAACGCGTTCGAAGCGGAGCGTTCGCCGCCCTTGCCCTTCAGCGGCGACGGCTGTGGACTTGGCGTGAAGTACCGTTTATGTTCCGGTTTCGCCATTTGGGAGGGAGATGCTGCACCAGGTACACCAATGGGTTTGACAGGCGGCGCCGGACGGAGTTCGTCGATTTCGGGATCCCATGAGTCGTTGCGGCGAAGGAAGATGTCAAGCTCGTCAAACTCGACAGCCTCTTCGCTAAGAACGGAATAAGCTTTTCGGCAAAGTATATGGACCTGAAACGAGGCTCACAACTGCGCGAAAGTCTGTAACAGCTTTGTAAGATACATATGTCATACACAGGACGGTGTACGCACCCCAGGACATGTACCGCCAACCAATATGCCCGGAAGCTGCTGCTTGTCTGAATGATGTCAAGCGGCGCCTATCAGTAAAGTCTGCGGGCTGCGTACCTACGGGCGCTTTTCTCCTCCACAAACTCTTGGCCTGCTCGTCGGACGCAAGATCATACGAGTCGAACGGGATCTGTTTTGCCTGTAGAATGCGAAGGATATACTCTGCGCATAACGCTCGTCGGCCGATAGATAGCACACCATCAAGACGAAGGCGAACCTTGCCGTTGCCTGAGCGCTGGCTGCGAGGCAATCGTAGTCAAGAAGACTTGTATAGGAGGTGCTGGCATAGCTGGGAGCAGTGGATGTCGCCGTACAAGCCAACAACGCGACTATAACGACCGTCAGGTCCAGGGCTTGATCAGGGCCACGCGCGGGGATATGAATTCCCAGGGTACGCGATCGCGCTTACGAAGGAACTTTCACCTTGACCACCATCTGCTAGATCTGCGCCCATTGGCATCTCCTTTACTCCATTAGACGTACCCTGTCAATATACTAGACGCTATGACCAACACTGCATCGCATCCGAAAGTTCTCGTCGTTTGTCTCGGAAATATCTGCCGTTCGCCGATGGGCGAAGCCGTTCTCCGACATGTCGCGAAAGAGCGCGGTGTCCAAATCGAAGTGGACAGTTGTGGAACGGCGGGCTATCATATCGGAGAAGAACCCGATGAGCGGTCAGTCGCTCTTGTAAAAGGAAGTAAGACGCGGTGACTCAAACGCATACCTCAGAACTGTATCCACTTGCCGCAAGGTACTACATATTCAGCCCGATGCAGCGTGGCACTACATGTGAACTGATTGGGGCACAGTACAATGTACCGATAGAGCACGAGGCACGGCAAGTACACAGACAGGACTTCTATAGGTTTACGCACCTGCTTGCCTCCGACGAGAATAACTTGCGCAACCTGAACAGCATAAGGCCAAAAGATGCGACAGCGGAGGTCAAACTTTGGGGATCATACCTGGATGGCAAGCCCATCGCTGATCCGTACTATGGCGGCATTGTGAGTAGATTTTATGTGGCCCTTTTACAGATAGCTTCATTGACCACTTTGTAGAACGGGTTCGAGAAGGTTTATGATCAGTGTACCAAGTTATCGCATGCGTTCTTGGATAGCCTGTCGAGCCCGTCTTCCAACCTTTAGGGTACGGGTGTTAACAGTACATAGGGAGGAAAATGCTGCGATTATCATTCATACAATCCATCCAATCCAGTGCTACTATTGTTACAGATGTGAGACTGATGAGATAGATGGGTTGGGTTTAGACAGCCTCAATGGTGGGTGGGCATGTTGACGGACGCCTTGCTCGTCAGTGCGTCCTCGGCCTTCCAGAGGCTGGTCGTGGTCTGATCAAAGCTGTTAGCACATGTTGGAACGCGCAATGGAGTGTATGGCCCTACCTTTTTCTGCGTGTAGAATTCGATAGCGCTGTATTAAAGCATTGATCAACAGATGGGCTCACTCGCGCATACACGATTGATGTCTCACCTCTTGCCGTAGAATCCAAGGTCGCCCAAAACGCTAGCCTTGTTTCCACTCCAAGAGAACATCGGAAGCGGGACAGGGATCGGTCTGGATGTAGTCAGAAGGACGGCCCTTGGAAGCGATGCAACATCGGATCCTTACACGTTGATACCAATCTGGCCGACATTGACATCCGTCTCGAACTTGCGCGCAGTCGCACCGGACTGAGTGAAGATAGCCGTGCCATTCCCGTACTTGTTCGAGTTGATGATGTCGACGGCCTCGCCGAGCGTGCCAGCGCGGAGAACGACAAGTGCAGGCCCAAAGATCTCGGTGCTTTGTGCGGGTCAGATATGCAGATTCGACAGATGCGGATGGCTCACGTGTAGCAGTCCATCGAGGTGTCTGCCTCGATGATCGTTGGCCCAACGAAATTGCCGTGCTCGTATTCCGGAACGGAGATGCGGCGGCCATCGAGATGTATCTTGCCGCCTTGTTCCTCTGCCGAACCAATGAGCTTCAGGATACGCTCCTTGGCCTGGGGTGAGATGACCGGCCCACTGGAAGTATTCACTTCAATACATGAACACGGTGAGATGGCGGACGCTCTCACAGATCAGCGCCTTTCTCGAATCCACCGCTGACTTTCAAGTTCTGAGCGAGCTTGATCAAGTCTGGGAGCCACTCTTGAGCGGAACCGACCAACACTGCGACGGATATCGCCATACAGCGTTGACCGGCAGCTGTATGGTTTAATTCAGCAGCTGAATTCAGTCGGCACGGAGAAGCACAAACCGCCAAAGGCTGCTCCAACGATGGAGTTCAGGGCAAGATTCTTGTTTGCTATGAAACGCAGTGAGTACTTGAGACTGAATCGTAAGGCTGTCGGGCTTCGTACCGTCGGGCATGAGAACAGCGTGGTTCTTCGCACCCATGTTGCTCTGAACGCGCTTACCGTTCGATGTACCCCTATCGTTGCACGTTCATACAGCCCTTCCGACGCTGAACGACATGACACATACCTATCGTAGATGTGCTTACCCGCACGGTCACCTCCGACAAAGCTGATAGCGCGGATAGCTGGGTGGTCGCAGATAGCGTTCACGGTTGGGACAGTCCCGTGAACGACATTGACGACACCAGCTGGGAAACCGGCGCGTTCGCAAAGTTCAGCAATGATCATAGCCGCTCCAGGGTCACGTTCAGACGGCTTCAGGATGAGAGTATTTCCAGTTACGGTAGCCATTGGGATAGACCAGAGCGGAATCATCCTATCATAGCAAGCATCAGCTACTGTACCAGGTGATGGACCAGGTAGATCTCTCGACATACGCAGGGAAGTTGAACGGGGCGATGCTACGAGGGCGATAAGCCAGCTGATGGCAAATCGAAGAAGGAGCAGGACGTACGAAGAAACGACACCCAATGGAACCTTGCGAACTTCTGTGTCCATGTCCCTGCTCACTGGTGACTTGAATTAGACTAAGCAGTTGCATGTCGTTGAGTAGGCTCACCTTCGATCTTCTCGCCAAGGAGCAACGACGGGGCACTGGCGGCGTGTTCAACTACCTGGAATCCCCGTAGAATGTCACCGTGTGCGTCTAGTTGCACATTAGCGCATGTCATCCTTCCGATGTGTAAGAATCGGTCACACCCGGCCATGTCTTTCCTTGCTCAAGGACGATGCTTGCGGCAAGGGCATCCGCGTTCTCGCGAATCAAGCGTTGCAGTCTAGCGTTGCCCGTCAAACCTGTACCATCAACCAAGGGAGGCTGCTCACTCAAAGATGCATCTCTGTCGCGTCAGTACAGACGTTCTGCCCCACGTCTTGAAGGCGTCGGAAGCGGCATCGACGGCTTGGTTGAACTCCTCGCTCGTAGTCTCCGGGACGCGCGTGAGCAAGGTTTGCGTAGACTGAGCACCATTCAATAAGGGTCATCAATCGTTCAGAACCCCAACATACCGGGTCCAACACGTCGATGTACTTGTCGGTTCTACTCTCCACGAATGCCCCGCCGATGTAGTTCAGAGTGTTGCCTCCAGTCGCACTCGTGCCCTTCCACTCGCTGGAGATCTGTTCAGCCTTGATGCGGGCGGGCGTACTCAGACTGCCGGCAGCAGAGGCGTAGCTGCGGCCGTTGCGTAGGCCAGAGAGTGTTATCCGAGAGCGTAGCATGGTGGTGGGACGAGGCAAGACGGAGGTGCGCGAAGCGGGAGAGCGTTTACGTCCCCGTGGGGAAGCCGGTCACAAGCGGTCACCGGGCCGAACTTTAGAGTAGTCCTCGTGACGAGACGAGACATAACGGCGTTGTTTGCAACGAGGAGCGGCGAAGTTGAGCCTTCGCATCAGACCGTGGGGGTACCGTTTAAGAATCAGCCGCTGAGCGCTTATTCGCGACTGTGATCGGTGTGGGCATGAGGGCATGCCGCTCCAACTTCCCCCGATAAGCGCGTATTCCCACGTGATCGCGTGCTTGCGTTTGACGGCCGCGATTTGTGTTGCCGCTTCACGCTTTCGCTCTTACCACCGTCTCTGTCTCTGAGTGTGTCTTTACTTGCCTTTGTGTTCGCCATGGAGAATGGGCCCCCGGCAACTCCGACGGAAACCACACAGCCAAATGGAGCCAATGTTTCCCAGATGACCCCAGAACAGCAAGCACAGTACCTTACAAGCCTAATTCAGACAAACCCTGCCATCGCTCAACTCTTTCAAAACTTCCTCCCGCAACAGAGCAATGGGGCTGCGTCTGTGTCTAATGCGAATACCACCCAGGCTGTTGGTCCCCCGAATGCTGCACCCACGAACACGTTACCCCAAGCTGTCAATGCGCCTTATCCCCAGCCACTTCAGCAGCCGACTGGCGCATCACCTACCAGTACAAATGGCCTTCCTGGGATGAATTTTACTGCGGACATGGCTCGCCTCAACTACACAGCCTCAATACCTCCGTCACGAGATCATGACGCTGTGGTTGCAAACCGTCTGCGGGATGCAGACAGGGAGGGCAAGTCTTATAAGGACGCTTTACGCGAGATGCATGGAGTGCGTATACTATTACTAGCATATATGCACAATATTCACATTACACACAGGTTTTTAACTTTCCCTCCAACCTCTGGATCGACTACTACCTCGATAGACGTCTTAGCATCAACGAGCTCATCGACGAGTCCGACAGGAATACACCCGGGAAAACGGCCAAGAAGCCCGCACTGAGCCGCGCCGGCGACTCTGGGATGTCTGCCTCGGCGCCCGCCGCGCGTCCCGGTCCTGCGTCCGTAAAGAAGGAGAAGGGCACGAGCGAACAGTCTTCGACGAAGCCTCGGCGGGCGACCTTGAATAGCATGGCCACTTTCTTTGAGTCGACGTCAGATTCCAAGGACGATGGCATACCCGAGCCACCTACCAAGGAGCCTACACCACCGACTGAAGTGCAAACGATGGGCTTGCGGGGCAATGCATTCACAGACGCTGATGTCAAGTACCTTATCGACTTTGTGAACTGGGTGTGCGCGTATAAGGACTGGTCGGTCACGAAGATGTACAAGAAGCTGTATAAGAGGGTTCGTTTCACCATGTAGGGTTTGATGACGGAGTTGTTGATCGCATATTTCAGGCTCCGCATCATAGCGCAGCATCTTGGGCGGGAAAAGCGAAGACGCTGCCCATCATCGCGAAGATCATTGATGCGTCGGCCCAGGATGAGGAGGAAGAAGAGGACGAAGGGGAGGAATACGAAGAGGATATGGAAGTTGATGAGACACCTGAGGCTGAATCAAAGGTGTCACCGTCCGGCAGGCGGCGCAGACAGGTGGGAGGGGTCGGGACGGCTGTCACTGACAATGACCTGGAAGACATGGCTGAGTGGATTGCGGAAAATGGCGATAATTGGGAAGAGATGTCTGGAAAGATGCGTTGGTTTCCGTTTGCTGAGACGGTATGTAGATACCGCAAGAGCGTGATGATGTCACTGAACTTCTCAATAGCATGATAAACGTTCGTGGCAGGCGTGGACGGAAACTTATCGAAGATACCAATCTGGTGAGGACATCGTTGATACTTTTGCCTTTATCAACGTCTTATATTTCGTCGACAGATATTGACTCCATGGTGAGGAAGAAACGGCGCCGTGCTCAGGCGTCGGGACCTTCGGCGGCGAAGCGACCACGCAACGAGTAGTACTTTATTTTTTTCGTGCTCCCTCTTAGTCATATATACGCGCTGTGAGGACTTTGTAGCTTTTGCGATATATCGATACTGTAACGGCGTTCGGTCTTGTGCTTCCCGTCTCCGGTATACTCTAGTTATGTAGTCCCAAGCGGGCATGCTTTCTTGTGAGATTCTTGGCGAGTGGACTGTGGGTAATACGTCGACCTTGACGCAGGGGCTCGTAAATGCGCGCTCTGAAGTTCCGGAGACTGTGTTGCCACAAGTGATTGCCAGATTGCAGGGGTTTGAAGGCGGTGCGACCGTCGATCGTGTAGGAGGCAGTATGACTGTCTTGCAGCACCGATTGCTCAGGCATCAGGTAGCATGGGGCGTCGGCGTGGAGGTTGGTAGGTTGTCGACTGGCGCACTTGCCCGCGAGCGCGAGAACCACGCCTACGTGTTGTGGTTTGTAGACCGGCGGGGGCTGCATTGTGAACGAGGTTGACTGCTCGCGCAGTGCATCATAGAAAAAATCGCAAGCCTCTATACGTTCTGAGCTCAGTATAAAGACAGTGGCCGTCAAGAACAGGCCCAGAACCTCGAGGTGGCCGCGCGGCACTGGGCACAGAAGTGAGCTCGGGTGGGTCCGTAATTTACCAGGCCAGAGTTTGTCCAGGGCCCCCGTTCCGCGGCCGCGCTCCAAACCCCCATCAGCTAGTTAGCTATCCAGCTCGCCGTAACTATCCTCACCCACAAAAAATACCACACGGCCGCGCCTTGGGTCCTCTAAAGCGATGGATTCTTGTCGATCTTGAAACATATCATTTCCTCAGGACCTTTTCGAGGCACCACACCTACCCGCGGGCGAAGTCTGCAAACCACTCGAGCTCGTTGGTTCGCGGCGAATGCTAATTCGCGCACAAACATGTCGTCCACACCACCCCCGCCGTATTTTTGATGCACTCTCGGCGTCGTTAAATATGTCGAAGTTCGCCAACGTTCTCGACGACCCACTTACGGACGTATGCAATCCTGGTCGGGGCTCAAGCAGCGGATTGGCAGACGAGCTCAGAGTCGCGACAGACTGGAGGAGAGCCTACGAGCAGCAGATTTTTGAGGGCAAGGACGTTGGCAACGGTTGAAAGGCTTGAGGTGCGTATCCAGACTTAGTAGATTTCAGTCACACATTCGTTGGACAATCAAACATCTTTCAATCCATTCTATCTTCTTCTTGAGGAGACGGCTCTTGTAGCCTGTCGTTGTGTATTCTTGGTGTCCTAGGGGGCCTCTTCTGGCCCTGTCGGCGTTTGATCCCTCACACCTACCGTTCCTCGTGCCCTCTTGTCGGGCAAAGTTCGTCTTGATGTCAGACATGGGAAGGTGTTTCAGAGCACATTCGCATTCGTTCATGGAGGCGGGAGACAACCTGGGATCCTTCGCTGTCGTCGTCCCGCCGCCTGGCGCGGAGGACTGACTCGTGCGGGAGGCGCTCGGCAAGTGCCGACTGACAACCTGATTAGCGCCCGTCTTCCCGCCTCTGCATACCTCGTTGTCGGCCGGGGCGCGTTCGGCGCGTTCGGCAAGCGCGAATCTCACGGCCCAGAGAGACGATTTCGAGAGCCGTCGGAGGCCGCGGATCGGCTGATGGGACGATGCGATGCGGAGGATGCAGTTGGGGGCACTCCGAACGGGCAGATGGGCAGACGGCAGGAGGAGAACTGGGGGACAGTGGACAGACGGACCGAGCGGAGTACTACCTTTCGAATGAAAATGGTTCCATGAAGCATATGGATACGCATGGGTGGACTTGCAGTACCCGCACGAGGATATGCGGTTGGCAACGGGTGCGTACTAGGATCGGTGACGCGACGACGCGACGGGGCACCTGTAGGCGGATTCTTCAGTGGGACTCGCATATTTGCTTCCGTCTCTGGTCCAGAGGCGCGGTACACTTTCCTGAGCTCGCCCGTACGCTACGTCTGCCACTTGCGGCGGCAATGTTTGAGCGAAGGGTAGACGGGGTGGATGCTGAGCCCCCTGTCTCAGAGCAATCTCGCGCGTCAGGCGGGGGACCGACGCGCCTCAGCTCTTGTAGCTCTTTGCGTGCGTTCTCCATCGGCGTTCACGGTCGTCGTCGCAGCATGTTCAGGCTGGTTGACCGAGTGGAGTATGAAGTCGGACCGAAGCAGCTACGAGTACGAGCGTAACTTGCTCGCGCGAGGCACTCTCTGTTTGAACTCTCATTTGCGCTCGCGCGTTTCCCAACTGACTCTCGTGTGAATGCGGCGCAGAAGCGACCTCGTCGCCCCATAAAAACCAGCGCGACGACGGACTCGTGGCTTCGTCTCTGACCACCAACTCCTTTCGCTCTTTCGCTTTCAGCGACCCACCATCGCGACTCTTTTCTCTCCTTTTCATCCGCCCCAATCCGCCCCATCAGCGACCAACCATGCCCCCGTACGCGATCACCGCGCCTTATCCCTCGTTTTCGCTCGTTATATCCGAGGCATATCTCCACTTCCGCGAACCTGAACCGCGTCCCGACCTTCCACTGCCCTCGCGCTTCCATCCGTACGCGCGTCCGGCCCCGCGCGAGCCGTATTTGGACGAATGTATGGTGAGTTGTCGCGTCCTCTCTGTCCATCACGGCGCGTCTCACGCGCTGGCGTCTCCAGGTCACCGTCGACTACCGCTACACGCCACCGCCCGTCCCTACGGTGTCCTTCAGCCCTGTATGTTTACCTCTAATTTTACAAATACACGATTATTGACGTTCACTCGTAGAACCGCGAAGATATTATGGCAGTTGATGAGCGCGACGACGCGAGCGTCGAGTCGTATTTCTTCGCCCTGGACAATCTCCAAGATGCTGTCCAAGGCAATACTGAGGTGCAGTTGGACGAGCTTCGTCGCCTTGGGCGTCGTCCGAGCCTCTCGACGCTTGTGATTGTGAGTTGTTGACCGCTCCTCTCTCTGCACTTGATCTTGACCATGCGTCGTAGGACCTCGCCCTCCTCGTCAAGGAGAAACTGAAGAAGCTCAAGCCCGTCGGCTCCGGCGCGTCCCGCGCCTCTCAAAAGACCCAGAAGTGAATGCCGTCCACTGAATCTTGAACATCTTGTCGCACCCCGCTTGGTTATGTTGAACTCTTGCTTGCTTTCTTGATCTTGCTGTCCTCGCACCACATCTTGACTATACGCCATGACTCCCGCCTTTGCTGCATAATACCTTGTATCATAGTTCCATTCGTCCTTCGTCGTCGTTGTTCCGTTCTCTTCTCGTCGTTTGCGCCTCCCCTCGCTGAGCACCAACAACCACTCACAAACATACATAACTCGCTCACCGCCCTTCTGTACATATGCTTCGCCCACCCTCGTCGTCATAACATCATCTTGGATAACCGGAGTCTTGGTCTTGATGTCCTTGGTCTCGGTCTTGGCTTCTTGAAGGAGTCTTGACTATAACACCATCCCACCATCCACACTCCGTCGCCGGTTTTCATCGTTAGCTGGAATATATCATGATTGCCGGACCTAACCTCCGCGAGTGCATACCCGACAGCCGTAAGAAAGGGAGATGTACTGTTCGAGGTGTGACTGCTGGGGGTATCGTGACGACACGTTACAACGTAATGAAGGAGATAAGACAAGGACGGAGGGAAAGATCCGGACAGTACATTAGGTGCGGCGGACAAGCAGAAACGACATGTAGAAGAAATGGACGATGAGAGGATATGGACAAGGGAGTAAAGAGGGAGAGCGGGTGCCGCTGTCGCCTAGCAGTTGCAGCCGTATGACTGTGACGCCTCCGAGTCGATCCTGATTGGGTCAGGGTAGTCCACATATCTGCATGACATTGATCACTATTAGCAATAGGCCCAAGCTGAATATATACGCACACTTGCTCCTCCTGCTCCTGTTGCAGCGCGTTCTTCGCCACCGTCTGGAACGCCTGCTCCACGTTGATAGCCTCCTTCGCGGACGTCTCGAAATAGGGGATATTGCCCTTCGACTGGCACCACGTCATGGCACGCTTCTGCGTGACCTATACACGCCACAAGCACCCTCAGTATGCGTGCAAGATGTGGAAAGTTCGCATGCCAATATGGACATACCTGACGCTTGTTCTCCTCCATGTCGATCTTGTTGCCGAGGACAACGAAGGGGAAGTTCTCTGGGTCGTGCGGGGAAGCCTGGATAAGGAACTCGTCCCGCCACGAGTCGAGAGTCTCGAAAGACTTGGCCGAGTTGACGTCGTAAACGAGGACGCAGCAGTCAGCGCCGCGGTAGAACGCGACGCCGAGCGACTGGAAGCGCTCCTGGCCGGCGGTGTCCCACAACTATAGAGGAATCATGGTAAGAATCGGGGTGATATATTGTCCGGATGTAGCGCACCTGCATGGTAACCAGCCGGTCGTCGACCATGACCTCCTTGGTAAGGCTGACAATATATGAGTCCCGTTTATTTGGGTATGTCATGGTCGGGAGTTGAACGCACAAGTCTGCACCAATAGTGGCCTTGTACTGATTAGAGAATCGCTTGTTAACATACTGGTTCATAAGCGACGTCTTGCCGACGCTGAGCGAGATAACGAGTCAGGTTCAATATACCGTCCCGCGGCCGAAGCACATACCCGGAGTCTCCTAGAATGATAACCTTGACACACATCAGTCAGAGTACCGGATATCTCGCAGATAAAGTGCCACATACCTTGAGAAGTACGCGGCCCATGATGACTATAGTTGAAGGTGGTGGTGGTGTGGTCGCGAGTAAGTCGCGGCGCGCGAGCCCGGCGGGGCGGAACGAGCGGCCTCGAGGCTCACGCTCGGACGCCCATGTCATAGGCCATGGCAGAGCCCGCATGGCAAGAGCTCCTCCGCGCCCGTCTCACAGAGCGGAATGCTCAGGAATCCGCCTACTCTTCGGTCATAGACCAGTGTGCGTATATCCCTGTTTATGATGCACGTGCTACATGCCGATCACCGCACAGATCGACGGCTAGCCCAGCAGACAAAGCTCCTGAAAGAGCGGAATGCTTCGCTGCTACGCGCAGTATCTAGCGTCAAGCAGAACCCAAGTAGTTCTACTGTATACGTTCCCGGCACATCCGAAGAGTATGCCGCCCACTTCTGACATCTTCCATGCGTTATATTGACATCCGACCACCCAGAAACCCCGTTCGCGCAGCATACATCGCCTCCCTAGAATCCCAGATATCATCATTACGGGATGAACTCGCGACTGTGTACAAGACACAGGGGCAGAATGCCCAGCGGTTGCTTGCGATGAACGAGACCTTGCGCGAAAAGGAGGAGGTTTCGCGCATAGACGCCGACCAGTTGCGGAAGGCACGGGAAGACGTTGCGAACCTCAAACGCAAAGTCGAGCAACATACAGAGCTTATGGAGGAGAAAGATCGCGCGGCACAGGTACCCTATTTCCTCATATGGGCATCGTCCTGCCACTGACATATAGTCTACCAGCTTCTGCACGATGAGATCTCAACCTTACAACTGGAGCTTGACCAGATTGAGAAGCGCAATCAAGACTTGGCGAAGGACAATGCGACGCTACTGCAACGATGGCTGGACGCCAAGCAGGCTGAAGCAAACAAGATCAACGAGGCAAATGACTTCTATGAAGACATGCGCACGCGACATCAGTCTATCAAACAGTGGGCAACCGACGCGTCTGGTGGCGACGATTCACGAAGCACGTCGCAGATGTCGGGAAACGAGAGCGCGGCGGGGGACGAGGCGGGACCGGGGACGAGGAATGGGACCACATCGAGCGGCCAGAAGGGCGTGAGTCTGACGCCGAATGGTTGATGGTCGACGACGACAATGACGAGTGACCCTTTTAGTGATCTGCTTGTCGCACCATACTCGTCGCTACCCTTCGCAGTGTCCGTTCTTCTCTCTCCAGGTCCATTCTCGTCGTGCTTTCAAGTCTCACCGGATGATACCCAGTGCTCTCGAATACTATCCTTGCATATTATTCTCGCAACTAATTCGCGCATCGCTCTTGCTATGTTGTATAGATTCTCTCAAACCGTTTGTTTTGCGTCATCCGTGGTTGACTGACATCGGACCTTACCGGCCTTACCGCCCGTCGGGTATGCATACCTGCCCTAACGCCAGCGCTGCGCTATGCAAACATTACGAGGCATCGCGAGCATGCTTCATGTTGGCGCTCGTGTATAAGGACTCGATGTTCGGATTTCGAGTCTCTTGCTCTCGACCACTCACTATCCCCAGCGTCCACCGGGTTCTAGCTAGTCTAACCCGCTCACCGCTCACAAAACACAGCTACTACTCGCCTCGTCTCTAGACCGCTTGCCTGCCATGCGCACGCCGGCTCTCCAGTTCTCGCTCCTCGCAGCGGCACTATCGCCGACTCTTGTCCAGGCTGCGCCTACGCCTTTCACTCCCGGCACGCCGTTTTCCCCCAGCAACGCACCTGACTCTCCTCGTCCTGTTGGCAACTTCGGCCGGTCCGGAACTCTTGCGCCCCGCTCCGGCGGGTTTGGACTCGGATTTGTCGCGGCGCGCGTTATCCAGGCTAGGAAGCCTTCTTTCATCGGCTCTCTTGATGAGTAAGCGCTCGTCTAAACGTACGGCTTTCACCGACTGACTGATACTTGCAGTGGTCCGGATGGCACCACGATCGCGGGGATTGACTCTGGCAACTCTCTCTTTGGCGTCTTCGATGAAGATGACACGCCCCCGCCACCGAAGCACCATGACAACTACAACCAGGGTCCGCCTTCAAACAACTACTACAAGACCGATCCTCAGTACAACGAGCCGCCGCCCGACCCGTACTACCAGGATCCAGCGCCGGAGCCGTACTATCCCGACGAGGGCAACCTCAACGCTGCGAAGCCTGCCCAGAAGGAGAAGGACTGCGACGACGATTATGGATACAAGGAGCCCGCTAAGGACCCGTACTACGCTGATCCTGACGCGGGCAACGGTTACGCCTCCGAGCCGTCCAAGGACCCGTACTATGCCAACCCTGACGCGGGCAACGTCGATTACTCCCAGCCTGCCGACGACGGCTACAAGTCTGACCCCTACCAGCCGGACCCGTACACGTCGGACCCTTACGCCGACCCGGAGGAGGACTGCGCTGACGACATGCCATACAAGGATCCTGAGCCTAGCTACGACGACCCGTACTACGCCGATCCCGACGCTGGCTACCAGGATCCCGCTAAGCCTGGCTATGATGATGGGCCCGCCGTCATCGACCCCGCATACCCTGATCCCGGGGACGCTGGCGAGGACTGCGACGATGGCGCATACGATCCTGGCTACAACTCCGACCCTTACCAGGATCCCGGTTCCGGGTACAGCAACGACCCGTACGCGCCTGACGCCGGCAACGTCGACTACTCTCAGCCTGCTGACGACCCCTACCAGTCGGATCCCTACCAGGACCCCGCGTACGAGGATCCCTCGTACGAGGACCCTTCGTACGGCGAGCCTTCATACTCCGACCCGGAGCCATCCTACTCTGACCCGTACGGGGAGCCCGAGGAGGATTGCGGGTGTGAGGAGGACGACTACGACTCCTACAAGCCGAAGAAGGGTGGCCTCGCCGCGGCCAAGCCGGCGGAGACATACGACCCGCCCGCTGACTCGTACGATCCCAGCTACAGCGACCCCTCCTACACGGAGCCCACCGACGACACCAATTATGGCTCTACGGAGCCTGCGTACGAGGACCCCGCATACGCTGCGCCCAAGAAGGGGAACATGAATGCCACGAAGCCCGCCGACTCCAGCTACGAGGACCCGAGCTACAGCGACCCTTCGTACGAGGATCCGACATACGCGAACCCACAGCAGGGGAACAAGTACGCCGCGCAGCCATACGATCCCGGCTACGACCAGACCGAGCCCAGCTACGACGACCCCACGTACTCGGACTACCCTCAGCAAGGCAACAAGTATGCCGCTCAGCCTTACGATCCCGGCTACGACGAGCCCACGTACGGCAACCCTCAGCAGGGTAATAAGTATGCTGCTCAGCCGTACAACCCCAACTACGACCAGGGCTATGGCAACGACTACGACGACGGTGACGACGATGACGGCTTCAACCCGCTCCCTGGCAACCTCAACATCGGTCTCGGCGGCAAGAAGAAGAACGGCGGCAAGGGTATCACGAGCGGAGACGGCGGTGACGCTCGCGGTGGCGATGTTATAGGCCCTAGCGGGCTTGTCAACGTGCTCATCGACTCGGACAACGCCGGTGATGGTGGCGACGCGCGTTCTGGTGACGCGCTCAACCTTCCGTCCGTACTTCTCTTTGCTTCTTGGTGGCTGCTCCCTGACTATCTGCGCAGGCTTCTCCAGAACCTCAACCGCGCACGCTCGGTGATCTCCCGCTCACTCGCATACGGCGGTATCTTCGGCAGACGTATGTTCAGGTCGGCTGCCACTCCGGAGCAGGCTCTTGAGATGGAAGAGCGGCCATCCGAAGTTCACCCCAGTACGTTCTTCTCGCTTACCTCCCGCGTCTTCGCATGAGCTCAACGTCGTTCAGTCTACCCGGACCATCCAAAGCGCACGATGGACGATTCTCCAGCCGGAAGTAATGGCACGTCGATGAATGAGGGTGAAGGCAGAACGTTCGTTCCGCGGGGCAGCACAAAGAGGTTGTAGATGGACGTAGATGGCAAGGAGACCTAGAAGAACATGCATAGTCGTAGTAATACCAAACTAGGGTACATTTTACTGCCACACAATAGAGGAGTCATCACGACGGGAACTACATATGAAAGCCGTTCAGAGCTTCGACGCGTACTTGTCGCGTATCTCCATGAGTAGTACGCCGAGCCAGTTCTGTCCTTTATTGTCGGCATCGTTACCCCAGAAATTATCCCTCCCCCAAGCGGCCTTCGTCACGGGCGTAAGCAAATGCGTGCAAGGACACACAAGAAGACGCACTTCTACAAGTTTGGCATCCCCGGTGTCGAGCAACTGGCGCCAGATATCCTTGTGTTGCCTGAACTTGAGCTTCAGCACAAACCTCATCTGGGCAGGGCATAATCAGTTCAACTCGAGGACAAGAGTATTGGCATAGTCATAGTTTGGATGTTAACCCCGCGCTGAGCCAGTCAGGGCGTCTATCTGCGAGAGGCATCAGCGCCGGAAGGTAGATGCAAACTGGGAGGCAAGTTACAGTCTTGATACCGCCGCGCTTTAGCTAGCGCCTCACTGGCTCGCGAGCACATCCGGATCTCTTCGGCTATGTCGGGGTACTGATGTATGAACTGGAAAGCGAGTGAGCGGGGGTATGATCACTTGGGGTTGACCGCACCTTGACAGCCTGGAAGAGGTGTTCGGCTGTAGGGTATATGCGCTCCTTCCACTCAACCGGGTGCGGGGAGAAGTTTGTGAGGAAGTAGTATGGTTGATTCTTATCGTAGAAGTAGATGGTCTGAGGAGAACGGCCGGCTGCGACGGGATATGATGATCCGCTGGGCGTCTCGGTAAAGACGCCTGGCGGCGTTACTGCTTCGTTCATGGCGTCGTAAACATCATCAGCAGCTGGGACGGCCGAGTGATCATCCATGTAGCCTTGTTCACAGTTGTCACTGCAGACTGATACATAAGGTTATGAGCAGGAAAGCGAACACGGCATAGCAAAGGAACTCACAGGAGTGGACGATACCGGTCTCGTAGTCGACGAACCTAGGACGTTGGAGACAACACTAGCGAAGCATTCGTAAGCCCTGCACAAAGCATCAAGGATACTAGAGGCTAGACACACCACGCAGAGTACAGCAGGGTCAACCGTGTATAACTCCGATGCCCGTCGGGCGCATTCGCGATCGCAGTCTACAGCAGATCAGCCCCGTCGTTTCATGGCGACACGGGTTACTCACAAGGAAGCCACTCGTTCAAAGTAGCATTGAAGTATCGATCTCGCTCATGACAGAGCTAGGGAAGATGCAATGCATGAAGTCAATACGTACTTCTCAGAGCTCAAACACAACCTACTTTGCACTTGCGAGGGTCGCCGTTTGGGCTGGCCCGGGTTGGATTCGACATGTGGAGAAGTTCTGGTGGGAGGGTGGTATAAAGCGGGATTTTTGTAGCCCGATGCATACTGTTATCTTCTAGAGAACAAGAGTGGCCGCATACACATGATCTTCTCACAGCGACCGACGACAAGAGGGCTGGGTCAAGTGGCAGCCGGCTGTGCAATGGCGCTGACGCTTAAGAGTGGCGTCGAGGGAGCTCCGTGCAGATTTACGGCGTGCAAGTTCTCTGCCTCATGCAGAGATACGAGATATGGACAGTATTGGTGCAATATGTAACAATGCATATCTCATGATGGTCGGAAGGCAGAGGAAGGACGCGCGATGAAGGCGTCTACTACCGTCCGGCAAACTCCGCCTGACGCGTGGCGGCCGGTGGCCCGTCAACATTTCGACTGGTTGCTAACGACAATACAAGGCTCTACAAGTTGAATCCTCGCAAGCTGTCCCGAGCAATTGTGAGCATTCATGACGGCATGATCGTGGCAAAAGTTGCCATGACGATCATGAGAAGTTGGCAGCGCTATGGCCATGCTCTTGTCTCAATGCGGGTATATATGACCACTGCCTCTCAGGTCACAGTCTCCCATTCTTACACAAGATCATGGCTTACACCCTTCGCTCCCCAGATTACATCCTCTTGAGACTCGAAAAACCGTGCTTTGTACGTTACAGTCGAACGCTTCTTCCACCTTGAGCTCATCGTCCTTCATACTAGTGGTGTCTCCGAAGACCCCACGGGCCAAATAGTGATTACCCTGAATGGCATCAGTGTGAGTTGATTGTGCTTATTGACGCCGCAAACGTTGGTTAAGAGCTCACGATAATCGTGTACAGGCTGTAGCATCGAATGTCGAGACAAGTGGTTGCGTGTTCGCCAGATCGCACGCAAACCCAGGGGGCAGAGGTGTTCCGTATGTGAGTCCGCCGTGCAAGTACGACAATGCTCAAGGACAGCACTGGCAGTTCTGTGAAGGCCGCCTGGTCAATCGCAATCTCGACGCGAATATGGGCGACTGTGAGCCAACGTCGTCTGATTCACATCATAGCATCTTGACACACTTCTTCCCAGACTGTGGCAGTAGGTGCAAGAACGCCGCGTCGGAGTTCCAGTTCGGGTTGGAGGCACCACAGAAGATATTTCATGACGGCCGGTGGTACCCCGATGCGTATACTCTTTACGTGGCTCGAAAGGTGTGCATCCAAAATGTCGCATCTCCTCTTGCAAGATATGACATGGCCCACAGTTCGCGGGTCCGGTGGCAGATAAGATCAGTCAGTGCGGAAACGCTCGGGAGGCAAAGAAGTTGATTTGGGCTTACGAGGAAGCAGGCCGTGAGTGCTATAGACCATGCCTTCAGCGAACCGCAGTCTGATGACTTGAAGTAGTGGAGAGGCGTCCTGACTGGGAAGAAGTTAAGGACGACATCGTACGTTCGCACTAGTATCCACCCCATGCATCTAACTTACCGACGTTGAAGCTGCAAGACGTGCTCCGCTTAAAGTTCGGAAGGAGCCATCAGTTGCGGATGGCGCTGAAAGGCATTGAGCAGCGCTTCATAGTCGCGGTACGAATCAGTGATCTTGGCGAACGGACGCTAGCTAAACGTCTATACAGGACATGCCTCGTGATCCCTGGTTGGGTAATGGATCAGATGGGCGAGGACAGAACAAGCTGGGCAAAGCACTTACAAGGTTGCGCGACGCCCTCCAAGACGATATCTTCGCATAGCGTCCGTCGTGCACAGATATATGATGCGATGATGAAGAGCCCGATTGTAGAGCAGCGTACACTTGGTTCATGCACGAGCTCGTATGAAATTCATGCATTGTAGAGAGGGGAGTAAAGAGGTGGGAACAGAGATGATTGCAATCAGTTAACCATAAGAAACACGGGCAGCGACGGGATGAGAGGACCCGGGATAAAGCGGTGCAATAATTTCGGAAGCGTTCGAAGGACGATCAAGAAGGTACGAGGGCTGTGACGTAACAGGTGACGAGGAGACAGTATCGGTCGTTATCGGTGCAGGTGTGCTACAGTGGGAAGGCTCGAGAGTATAGAGAGGCAGAGAGCGGAGCAAATCATTATTGCACAACGGCGGAGACTTACGCCTGAGGAGGCATCTGCTGGCCGGCAGCAGCAGCTTGCTGCTGGTAGTAGTCTATGGCGAGTTGTCAGCATAGACGCTTTGCATATGGGGATAGTGAACTCACTCCAGTACTGCTGGTAGTACGCTGGGTCCACGTTGGCCCAGGGGTTCGCCGCGCCAGCGGCGGACGCGTCAGCACCTGCCTCTGCAGGCGCAGCTTGCGGCATACCGGGTGCAGCACCCGTTGCGCCTGCACCGTAGCCAGCATATCCATACTGACCGTACGTGTTGGCAGCGGGCATTCCGTACATGGGCTACATAGATTCATGAGCGGTATGCATAGTGAAGATGGACAGAGATAGCGCACCATGGTACCGTAAGGCGAGGATGCAACGGGGCTGATGGGTGATGTGACAGCCGCACCGGTATCCCTGTCCTTGCCCCAACTGCACTTGATGGGGCGGCCATGCACCATCTGGCCCTGAAGCTGAACAATAGCCATCGCAGCGTGTTCGTGCGTGTCAAGCTTGACAAAGGCGAAGCCACGATCAGCCTGCATGCGAACTTCGGACAGGTAGCCGATGGACTGGAAGAGCGGGATCAAGTCCGCCTGCGTGCAGAAGGGCACGAGGTTGCCCACGTAGACGGTCGTGTTGTACGCGGGCGTCTGTTGCACGACGGACTCGTAGGTCATCGGTCCGCCAGAGAAGCTCATCGGCGCCGGTCCGCCACCCATGCCGCCACTCATGCTCGGGCCGCTGCCCATACCACCAGCCGGGGGAGCGCCCTGCGTCTTCTGGTTGGCCCAGTTGACGCGGATGGCGCGCGAGCCGAGCCATTCGCCGTTCATGGTCGCGATGGCCTGCTCGGCGTCGGTCTTGTCGCGGAAGGCGAGGAAACCGTAGCCGCGGGATTTGCCCGAGTTCATGTCCCACATGACGCGCGCGTCCGAAAGCGTGCCGAAGGCGCTGAAGGCCTTTGCCAGGACATCGTCGTTAACTTCGGGGGACAGGTCACCGACGAAGACGTGGAAGTGGTTTGTCGTGTCCTCCTTATTTTGTGTACCTTGGTAGGCCCAGTTCACGCGGATTTCGGTATCGAAGATCTTGCGGCCGTTCAACGTCTGGAGGGCGGTCTCCGCGGCGCGCATGTCCATGTACTCCACGAAGCCGTAGTTGAGACCGCCGTGCTGGTAGTTACGATCGGGAATAATTTTGACGTGCTGCACATGGCCAGCCACGGCAAAGATCTCCGTGAGCATGTACTCGGTCACCCGAGGGCTCAGGTTTCCGACATACAAGTGAGCGCGCCGCTGGTCACCAGGAGTAGGCCAGGGAGAAGTCGAAGAAGGGGAGTCCGATGATTAGATAAATGCCAAAAGGGGATATGACAGGACATACCGGCGCCTCAGCAGGACCACCCATGCCCATATTCATGTTTGATGATACAGAAGTCTTGAGATCTGGCAGATGAAAAGTTGTTCAGACGCCGCGTCGGAGACAAAAAGTAAGCGGCGATGACGCACAAAACCGAGATTGAGGGAATTTACGGAGCGAGGCGAGTCGAGAGGAATGGAGAGAGGAGAGAGAAAGGGAGAGAGAGGAAGAGGAGGAACAGAGACCGGGACGAACAAACGAGACGGTGGTCAGTACGTGGTCGACTGAAGACAGCCTCCAATCCAATATCCCGCTCTCCCGGATGCTCGGCAACGCCCGCTCCGGCCGATCAGATCCGTCAGGGACATTCCATCATCCGAGCAGTGAAAAGGGGTGCATCAAATATTACTACTACTGTGTAGGTACGTTTAATAGGACACCACTTCCTCCCGAACTCGGGATATATGTCACGTTCTTGTTCGTGGACAAGGATGCAACAATAGCCTTCGCCGCCTCGATCTTCCTCAACGTCACGAATGCTTCCCCGTACTTCTCCAGCGCCTTCGAGATGGTCGTGGCAGCCTCGGCCTCTCCCTCGGCACGGATGACCGCTGCCTGCCTCTCCTGCTCCGCCTTCTCGACAATGAACTTTGCCCTCTCCGCATCCTGCTGAGCAATCTGCTTCGCCTCGACGGCTTGGGTGAATTCCTAAGCAAAGGGTGAGCACCTGGCTGGGGTGAAGCAGTGGCAGGCGTGACCAACCTTGCCGAATGTCAAGTGTGTGATAGAAACGTCCTCCAACCGAATGTGGAACTCGTCCGCACGCTGCAACAAGTCCTCGCGGATCCGCGAAGACACAACCTCACGCTGCGTAATGAGCTCTGCGGCGTCGAACTGGGCCACAATGCTCTTCAACACCTCATTACCGATGGAGGGCAGCACACGCTCGTCGTAGTCTTGCCCGAGACTCTGGTAAATCTTGGGCAAGTGCTCGACGTCCGGCCGTGAGAGAACGCGCAATGTGAGGGTCACCATCTGCAAGTCCTTCGAGCCAGTGGTAGTGGAGATATTCTATGGAGTATGTTAGTATACATTCGCATAGGGGGCTTGACCCACGCACCCTTGGCTTGGTTCGGCAGTCATAGAGGATAGCGCGTTGCAGCCAGGGAATAAGGAAGTGGGTACCTTCTCCCGATGCCTAATTCACAGGTTTAGACCGCATGAGCGCCACTAGTGATAAGTGCTGTACCTTATTTTGCACACCAGAGAAACGGTCGAACATGACTGCCTTGTACCCTCCCGGAACATCGTACAGACTGGCCTGCACAGCGGCAGCGCCAATTATTGCGCCAACTAGATATATGGTCAGAGACGCCAAGTGGAATTGGTAGAGTGAGCATACTGGCATAGCGCTCGATACGTCCACCCAGAGCCTGCATGACGGTTTACGGACAGGAGTAAGGTGTCAGGTGAGAACGCGCGCGCGCTTCGGCGAGTGACGCGACGCGACGCGTTACGCCGGCAGCCTGGGCGGCAAGACCCGATGCGCGATGGCAAATGTCGGTCGCTTCCTTCTGTACCGCTCCAACTGCGGAAAATTCAAAAGACCAGTGTGGTTTCATTCAAGTCTGCAAGTAAGGTACACTATGGCACAGTAAAGTATGTGAGGGTAATATATCTGAAGGCTCGATGTGATTTCCATCGTCCTGACTAGACCAGACCAGAGCAAGACAGTGATGCGGAGTATATGCGTATGATGTCCAAAGAGAGAAAGAGTGTGTATCAACGCATGAGACAGTTTGCGTGTACGATGATGCGAGATTACATTATTGGGGGTTGTGAGGTAAGTTCAAAAAACGGGTCCGTGAGGAGAGACGAAAGAGGGAGTTGCAAAAGCAAGGCACAAAGAGAGGGTACTGAATTAACTAGTAAGAGAAGGGCGTCGACCGGAAAGAGGGTATGAGGGTTCTCCATCGTGTGCGCTGCCCATGGACGACTGACGGTCGTATACGCGGGTATCCGGGTACGATGGACGCCGTCGAGCGTGAACAGGTTGATCGTAAGTGAACACCGGGTGGTCGTGGTGTGCATGGTGCGAGCGAGGCTCCTGTACATGACTGTGACGAGCGCTATAGTACTCATAGGACGAGTCTTGGCCATAGCCCATCGAGGGTCGCCGTCGCGAGCGGTGTTCTGATAGTGACGACCGCCGCTCGCCGTAAGTATAGGGCACAGATGACTGACGCTCGAATGCATCAGGCCCCGCCGCATCGCCCCTTCTTGACGATATAGGGCTGAGATCAGCACCTGCTGGAGTTTGCCATACGGCGGAGACAGATGTTTGGTTAAGTGCGTGCCCAAGCCCTCCTTTGCGGTCATGCTTCCGAGGTTCAGCGTAGTCGCGAAGAACTCTGAGTTTGATGTCGTAGCTGTATCGCGCGGCATCATCTGCTTCGTCGTCTGAGTCGACCAGAGGGTCCAACGTGCCGAGTACATGGAGAGCCTGGCCGAAGACAGTACGCTGGCGGCCAGAACGTGCCGCTATTTCGTCTGCACTATAGCGTGGCCGACGGTGCGAAGAAGGCGCAGGGACTGGGGGTGCCGCTAGTGCATCCTGTATGGAAAGTCCCGTTGCATGACCGATACGACGACGTTGAGCAGGACGAGATGAGCCTACGAGGACATGAGCTAGGTAATAGTGATGCCTCGTTTTACGTACCGTCGGTCGCACTTGTCCGATGAGTTTCTTGTGAGGATAATACGATGTCGACGTCTTCATGTTTGAGCTCAAGTTCTGCGTGTGCACGCTTCCTGCCCTTGGGCGACGACGTTCCCGCTGACCCGGAGGCAAGAGCAGCCACGGTTGGATGTTGAGGCTTTTTCCCGCGTCCCTTGCCCTTCGCTTTCCCTGCGCCTCCGGTGTCCGCCCCACCTGCTTCGGTTGCAACGGAGGCAGCATCCTCGGCCGTCCTTGCCATAAAGTCCACACGAAACTTGTGCATCTTCTCTCCGTACACGAGCTCGTCGGGCGTATCGATGTTCTCCAGATCCTGCTCTGGTTGTGTAAGATCGCTGAGAGGGGGTATCGTGGCCGAATTCGATGTTGAGACGTCGGGGCCGGTGAAAGGATTTGGTGTGCCTTCGGTGCACTGGTAGTAGTGGTAGACTAGCCAGAGAAATGCGCGGGCCCTCGAAGAGGATGAGAACGGCACAGGGGTGAAGAAGTCGAGCAGATCGACGTCTTGCCGGCCGAAATGCTCGGAGGCAATGAACTGCGTGTATCGATTGCGGTCAACAGATGAACCAAAGAATCTGCGCACGCACTTACGGTGCAGTGGTTGGAAAGTACGAATAGAAGGTTCACGATGTTGGTGGAGGGCACGGTGCCGCTTGCCTGAGGCCGGCATGAGATCGACTGCGAACAGACATGGTAAAGTGTGTACTCACGATCTTGCTTCGTAGCTCCGCTGGGGTGACCGGCAGGGCGTCCGCTTCGCCAGGCAGATGACACGCCTTCAAGATGTTCTTAATCCTCGGTGCATCCTGCAGGTTTGGATCCACAGTCTGAAGGGAGGGGACAGGGTGGTATGAACGGAGGTTCGTGCGCATCTCGGGGAGAACTACACACGCCGGCGGTCAGAAACAGTATCCCAATCCGGCCAAAGATACACACATGTCATAGTGGTGTTGATTCTTCCGACGTTTGCCAAAAGGGACACCATTCCAAAGTCGGCGGCAAAAGCGGGGGAATCGGCCATCTTCTCGCGCAGACCCTTCGCGATGCGGGGAGAGGCCATGAGAGAGCGCACGTAGACATCCCGAAACGTCGACTTCTCGTCCCCCGAGCCGGTAGAAAAGACACGCCGGTCATCCTGGAAAATATGGGATAGAAAGTCGTATTGGATGTCGCGTCTGAAGAGAGGCGTGCCCTCGGTCGCCTTGAGCGCGAACGCCTTGCGCCTGATGCCGCGTGATCAGTTCAAAGCAACTGAATTGCGACTCGCCGGGGCGCCCAGGCCACCTCTGGGTCGACGAGACAAATAGTACAGTACCTAGGGGCCTTCTGCGCGGCCATGACGGTGGAAAGCAAGCCTATACGTTCCTGCTCATCGCGGGTTATGTTAATCCATCTAGTGAGAGGCTGAAACAGCTCAGAAACCTAATTCAGGTCGCGACACGGCCGCGAGCTCGCCCCTTTCTCGCGTTCTCCCACCATGTCAAGAACAAACAACTTTCCACGCTTGATGCTGTTCATGGCTTGAATTGACCACCCGGGAATCTAACACGTAGTACGGGAAGTACTGATGTGCTCCGTGACCGGCGCTATCCGTCGCACCGCTCTCCGACGTTCCCAGCTCCCGGTACTCGCAGTCTACCATTCGCGAATGTCTGCCTCCAATCAGCGCCCGACCACTGCAGACATGTCATGGAACCGGTTGGGAACTCTTCTGCTACAGAACAGAGATCGTCACCTGAGAACCCGGTGCAGTAAGATAGGACTATCGCTTTGCTCGTCGTCGCTGTGGGGTTGAGACCATCATGATGCTTCGCGTCATCCATCGTCTTTGACCGGTTCCTGTAGCAGCAGCTGTACAGCGGAGCACGCGTACTCCGATCCCGGCTTGTCATATCTACTCAGCCGTTCTCGAGCTGTGCTTGGATCGCGGGAGCGAGGCTCTCTTTCGCCTTTTCACTGCGTTGATGATGCTGGCCATCCAACGTGCCACTTAAGTTATGATTCTCATCTTCGTTGTGAATATTCTCCTTCTACTTTGCTTATCACGACGTACTCGCGCTCAGGGTACTGCCAACTTCAGCATATCGTTTGCGTCGCCGAACGCAAAAGAAGTGGGCTTTTCGGCGCAGGGCTCCTCTGTCCAGTCCAATGAGCTCGATGCCTCCATCGAGCTTCCGCTGCCAGGTGCGTATACCCACTGCTTCTCGAAGACACTATTGCTGACTAGTATAAAGCGGGTACACAGAGCGTATACGTCCAGGGTCTGGCGCAACCCGATGGCGCGCAAGCAGCTGCTTGTATCGACTGTATCTTCGTTGATGAGAAGCTTGTCGGGATGTTCCAGGCATTTGACACTTCGACTATTGATGGAAGTACGCAGCTGGTGCGTACGCCATTTCCACGCTGAAGCTGTCGTTCTTGCACTGAAGCGCACCCGCAGAGAACACTCGCTGGCCCTTACTTCCTCGACCCAGATGTCACACATAATCTGACGATCATCAACACGGACACCGATCCCAACAAAACCCTCACTCTTGACTCTCTCTTCCTGACCATTCAAACATCATCTACAACTACCACAACTACCACTGCTACTTCAAGTGGCACTGCCACTGGTACGCGTTTCATTAGACCCGCTCCACTGTGCGCGATGATACATACTTCTCCCCCGCAGCCTCTGCGCCCACACAGCCCTCGTCGATGTCCTCCCCCTCCCCCTCGGCGTCGCAGAGCGCAGTCCCAAGCGCCACTGCATCGTCAAGCGCGGCGGCTACGGGTGATACGTCTCAACAACGTATCCTCGCCATCGTGTTGTCAACGGTCCTTGGCAGCATCGCCCTCTTCGCCCTGCTGTTCAGCATCTTCTGCCTTCGTCGACGGCGTCGCAAGCGTCCGCCAGCTGGGAGGATAAGCGGTGACGCGTCCAGCAGTGCACCGGTCTTAGGACCAGCCTCGAGCGACACGTCCAATGTGACGATCATCTCCGCCGCGGAGGCGGGTATTGTGTCCGCAGTACGCCCACTACCACAAATGCCGCAGATGCGGGAAGCAGAGACGCCAGCGCCGCCATCAGCGAATCAGCGCGTCAAGCCACTCCCACCCGTTCCCTCGCCTCCACGCTCGCAACAGACGCCCATCCCATCCACTCCACGGACACCGCAGACGCCTGCATCATCAAGCTCGCTCTATTCATCATCTTCTCCGCGCCTCTCGACACGGCCACCATCCGGTCAGCCGAGCTCGTATCGTTCCTCTGGGTCGCCACGCAGGACTGGCTCTACGAACCTGCGCCGCTTGTCCTCGAATAGGGCGTTGCGCCAGTATCCACCGATGCCGATGCCGATGCCACCCAATACGAATGTCTCGCATCTCTCTCAGCTGCCAAAAGAGTGGCAGTTCTATGCGGATCCAGTGCTCCCCCGCGAGGCTGGCTCGCCTCGACATCTACACAGCCCTTCCGTGTATAGTCTGGGCTTTGCCGAACGCGACCGTATAGAGCACGAACGTGTCAACAGCGGGATCGGAGGTCGAGAAGAAGGTGATGTGGGGGGCGGTTTCGGCTTCAGGTTGAGTAGAGGGACCATCGTCTACCCCATGACACCGAGCGCCAGCGGGGAGGGATTACCAGATGAATGGGAGCCGTAGTTTGTGTCAAGTTTGTGTGCAGTGGCATCGGGCGAGTCGCCGCCATTGATTTTGGATTTCTTTCGATTTTCTTGTAGCATAGCCTAGCGCATTCCAGACCACCCACAATCGTTCTTGAGCTGGGCTCGTTGTGTAGACACTATGTATTATATTTGTATATCCCTGGGACTATAGACACCTGTACATGTGTAGGAGTCAAGTCATTGGATCGCGTCTTCGATAATTTCGGCATCGCGGAGCGCGGTGAAGCCGACAAGTCCGACGACCAACGGCGTCCCCGCAATTTCGTGCATGTCATTGTCAAGCGTTCCTTGCTCCTGCTGGTCATCATGCTGCATAGCACTGCGCTGCGGCGAGTGCCCTCTCGGCTCATATCAGGCTCGCGATCGCTGGCGACGCATGCTCCTCTGGCCGAGAAGGACTGCACATCTGTTACGCCGCCATATGCTCGATTGCTCGAAAACTTGGCACATGTCCGGAGACAGCTGGGCAACCGACCACTCACGCTCGCGGAGAAGATATTGTACAGTCATTTACACGACCCAGAAAATATTGGCAGTGGAGGAATTGTCCGTGGAGAGAGTTATCTACAGCTCAGCCCGGAGCGGGTAGCAATGCAGGATGCTTCAGCTCAGTACGTGCCACAGCTCAATGCGCGCTGCATGTGACTCACTTTAATGCCTTCTAGAATGGCACTGTAAGGGCGTATGCTCAGGAATATCCGACCTGATTACTTAATGATACCGTAGATTGCAATTCATGAGCGCCGGGCTCCCCCGCACCGCTGTTCCCTCCAGCATCCACTGCGACCACTTGATCCAGGCTTCTACTGGCGCGGAGAGTGATCTTGCGGTATGTAATACACTGCATCACTGCTGCGTGAAGCCTAATGCGCTCAGCTAGCGTTCTATCGACAACAACCGTGAAGTCTTTGACTTCTTGGAGAGCGCGGCTAAAAAGTATGGCATCGAGTTCTGGAAGCCTGGATCTGGTATCATCCACCAAATTGTGCTCGAGAATTACGCAGCACCTGGTATGCTCATGTACGTGCAGTTACTGACTTCTGACACCCGTCCTGACCATCTCATAGGCTTGGTACTGACTCGCACACACCGAACGCTGGTGGCCTCGGTTTGCTCGCTATTGGCGTCGGTGGTGCCGATGCAGTGGATGCCATGACAGGAACACCTTGGGAGCTCAAGGCGCCACAGGTAGTCGGTATGTATCTTCGATTACTCTAGTAGGAGCGGGCCATTTACGATATACCAGGTATTCACCTTACCGGCAAGATGAACGACTGGGTCCAGCCGAAGGATCTCATCTTACACCTAGCCGGCAAATTGACTGTCAAGGTAGGCTCCACGTATCTCCTTCATTCATTGTTGCTTACCATGTGCGATAGGGAGGTACCGGACGTATCTTGGAGTACTATGGACCCGGCGTGCACAACCAATCATGTACTGGTCTTGCGACTGTCGCGAACATGGGTGCCGAAGTTGGTGCGACAACATCCACATTCCCTTACACCCCAGGCATGCGCGCATACTTGCATGCGACGGCACGCGGCCCCGTAGCTATTGCTGCGGACAAGGCTGCATCCCAAGGGTTCTTGTCCGCAGACGAGGGCGCTGAATACGACGAACACATCGAGATCGTGAGCCTTGAAACGTGCATCGTCTCGTATACGTCTGACGTATGGTAACAGAACCTCTCGGACTTGGAGCCGACAATCAACGGGCCCTTCACACCTGATCTTGCGACGCCGCTCTCGAAGTTCGGCGAGGTAGTCAAGGAGCAAGGATGGAAGGACGAGATGGCAGCCGGCCTTATCGGATCATGTACGAACTCTTCGTATGAGGACATGACTCGCGTGGCCGATCTTGCTCGTCAGGCGAAGGCAGCGGGATTGAAGGCGAAGGTGCCGTTCCTGTGCACTCCAGGCTCTGAGCAGATCCGCGCGACTATGGAGCGTGACAACGTCACTTCTGCTCTCGAGGATGTCGGCGCTGTTGTTCTGGCGAACGCTTGTGGTCCTTGCATCGGTCAATGGAAGCGTGACGAGCACAAGGGAGAGGAAAATGGCAAGTGCTGTTTGCATCAAGCTTATGAGTGCAAGTATTGACTATGCTTTACTAGCTATCATCACTTCCTTCAACCGCAACTTCAAGTCTCGCAATGACGGCAACAGCAAGACGATGAACTTCCTGGCATCTCCGACTACAGTCACGGCAATGGCGTTCTCCGGCAAGCTATCATTCAACCCGATGACCGATTCGATTCCTCTTCCGAATGGCGACGTCTTCAAGTTCACGCCTCCCGTTGGCCAGGACCTCCCGTCGTCCGGCTTCACCGCAGGAAACACATCGTACTACCCGTCACCCATGCCTGAACCACAACCTGAAACAGAAGTCGTGATCAAGCCAGACTCGCAACGTCTCGAACTGTTGGAACCCTTCGCAAGTCCCTTCGACAACAACCCACGCGGCCTCGAGCTTCCCGCGCTGAAGGTGCTCATGCGTGTGCGTGGCAAATGCACAACGGACCACATCTCCGCCGCAGGCCCATGGCTCAAGTACAAAGGCCATCTGACGAACATCTCCGAGAACCTCCTCATCACCGCCGTAAACGACGAGGGTGGCGATGTGAACGTCGCATTCGACCACGATCGCGAGCCGGGACAGTCCGAGACGGACACGATCCCCGGTGTTGCGAAGCGCTTCAAGGCCCGCGGACAGCCGTGGGCGCTCGTTGTGGATGAGAACTACGGCGAAGGCAGTGCTCGCGAGCATGCTGCTCTTCAACCCCGCTTCTATGGTCCGGATCCATCTCTTCATCAGCGCCTCTCACACAATGAACTGATCTCTCCCGCAGGCTGCGCTATGATCATCGCCCGCTCCTTTGCTCGCATCCACGAGACGAACCTCAAAGTAAGCTTCCATACATCTATTTCGCGTGGTGTGGCGATGCTCACATCTTTGCTTTCTATAGAAACAGGGTGTATTGCCGGTTTGGTTCGCCGATAAGAATGATTACTCCCGCATCGACTCCGGCGATATCGTCGAGACGTATGGGCTCGCGGATCTGCTCAGTGGTAAGCCGGATGCGCAGATCACTGTCAAGGTCATCAAGCGTTCCGGCGAGACGTTCGATATCGCGACGAAGCATACACTCTCCGCAGACCAGCTTAGGTGGCTGCGCGCCGGCTCGGCGCTCAATCACATTCGCTCGCAGCTGGCGTGAACCCGCATCCAATTATCCTGATTAGGTTGTGCTTTATATAGTATCTAGACTAGTTCGTAATACAGCAGGTGCAAAGCAAGAAGGCAGATCAAGATGAGCAGTGGAGTGAGAGCAGATTGGAGATCATTGAGGAGGGCGATCGACGAGGGATTGTCCGAGTATTTTGAGTCTGTCGCGCTGTGAGGACGAATCGGACGAGTTGTCCTTGAGCCAGTTCAATGCTTCGCGTGCGACAGATACGGCTTCGGGAGGAAGACCGGCGAGTTGAGCCACCTTGAGTCCATGGCTGTCCCTGTTCACGCCGGGGCGCAAACGATGCGAATACGAGAAGCCGCCGCCCTAGATAATCACATCTCTGTCAACGGCATACTCGATTATAATCAGAAGATGCGAAATACGAACCTGAAGTTCATCGACGTCGGTGCAGAAGAACCCGACCTTCTCGAAGAAGCCTTCACCTTTATGGTCGGGCGAGTACCCGAGCATATCAGTGAGCTCGTGGAAGTGCGTCGCGAAGAGCGCGCGGCAGCGGTTGTGCGCGTAGAGGTGATGGACCGTGGCGAATGCGATGGCTAGACCGTCTTTCATTGTCGTTCCGCGCCCGACTTCGTCCATTATGACTAGACTGTTGGGCGTTGCGCGACGAAGGATCTCGGCTGTTTCGAGCATCTCGACCATGAAGGTACTGCGGTCGCGGAATAGATCGTCTTTCGCTCCGACGCGCGAGTAAAGTCTGTCGACGATTCCGATCGTCGCGCTTTCAGCGGGAACGAAGGAGCCGACTTGCGCTAGGACTGCGATGAGCGCCGTTTGTCGTAACAGAGTCGACTTGCCAGCCATATTGGGCCCGGTGATAACATGCAATCGAGAGTCGGAAGAGAAAGAGACGGTGTTGGGCGTGAACATGCGTCCGGCTGTGAGTAGGCCAAGTTCGACGGTTGGGTGTCGACCGTTGACGACGTTGAATGAGAGGTCGTCTGTGAGTGTAGGTTGGATCCAGTTCATCTCGTATGCGAGGTTCGCGAAGGAGAGTGTTACGTCGAGTTCGTCGACAATGCGTGCGTTGCGTCGGAGAGCGGCTTCGTCGTTGACTACGGCTTGACGAAGGGACTCGAATGCTTGCCGTTCGGCTTGCATAAGCGTTTGGGAGGTCTCCATGATACGTGTGCCAAGTTGAGACCAAGTCTGCACGAGGTGCATGAGTCTGATGCACTGGATCATCGCAAAGGAAAACACATACAGAGTTGAAGAATGTCATGGTGCTTCCACTCTCCGAGACCATTATGAATTCCGATGATGCTTTGAGTTGGGCCGTCTGCCTCTTCCTCGCTACATGTACATGCAGTCCTTGACCGAGAGAGGAGCGCAGCGTTAACGATGGTGCAGCTATGTGAGATCGTGAGCATTCGCGATCGAGAACGGCTACCAGAGATGAATCCTACCATATGTCCGTTGAAGTTCAGACTCCATCTCATGCTTTTCCGTAAGCAGGTCTTCGATCTCGGTATGCAACTTCATGAGTTCTGGCGAGTACCTATCAGACGTAAGCCGCATGAACCAACGCAAGAGGGATAGCTGACTCACTCGGGGTTGATAGACCACTTCGATCCAGTCTGGTATTTCATGTCTTCTCCCAGCTCAGCCTCGAGCGAGTCCGCCTCCCCAGTATCAACCTCATCCTCATCGACATCTTCAACCTGAGGCAACGCCAGTCTGACCTTCTCAGCCAGCCCCTCAACACCATCAAGCCTCGAGACGAGCGCGTCCAAGCTCGCCCATTCTTCCACATCGAAAGCATCGCCTTTCTCCCTCATCTCCATCTCTCTTTCGAGCGCGATACGCTTCCTAATCGCACTCCACGCGCCCAGCGTCGAGCTCAACGCAGCAAGATCCCCCGGCCCACCACGACCCAGCGCAAACCTCTGCACAGCGCGCGGCGCATCCCCAGCCTCCCTCAACATCGCCCCCAGCTCCGTCCTCAGCCCCTCCCTCGCCGAACTTCTAAAAAGCGCCACCAACGCCTGCCGCGCCCTGATCTCGCCCAACGACGCGCTCGGCGCACAAAGCCATCTCGCCAGCAACCTTGCGCCGCCGCGCGTGCGCGTGCGGTCTACTGCGCTGAGCACACTTCCGGTGGAACCGCCCTCGCGCATGCCTTCGCGGATTTCGAGCGCTTTGAGGGTGTGGGCGTCGATTGACATT